GTCGAGTCAGTAGGTCTCGTCCGTGTTCTCCACCAGCTGGTGGATGGACAGCGTGGCGTTGTAGGGCTCCACCACGGTGTCCGACACCTTGGGCGAGGGCACCACGCTGAAGGTGTTCATGATGCGGTCGGGGTACTCCTCGCGCACCTTGCTGATGAGCAGCGTGCCCATCCCCGAGCCCGTGCCGCCGCCCAGCGAGTGGGTCAGCTGGAAGCCCTGCAGGCAGTCGCAGTTCTCACACTCCTTGCGCACCACGTCCAGCACCGAGTCCACCAGCTCGGCGCCCTCCGTGTAGTGGCCCTTGGCCCAGTTGTTGCCGGCCCCACTCTGACCTGCGTGGGGATTGGGAGATGGCACAGGCAGGGTCAGACCTCTGGCCCGCATGCCCTCTACAAAGTGGGGTGCCCACACCCTCCCGCGCTCCCCGAGGCCTCTACGGCAGCCATGCTGTGTGTTGGGGCCCCCGCTGCCTGGCTGCCCCGTGAAGGGCTCTGGTCAAAAGCTGAGAACATGGGCTGCAGGTCCCACTCTGCCTCACGAAAGGGTCCTTGGCGAGTGGATTGGCCGCCCCCACCGCCTCCCACCCTCTGGCCTGCCACGCCGGAAGCATGAACTACAACCCCCAGAGTCCCTTGCAGCTCGGGGTCAGGATGTGGATCAGTGCCCATGGGTTGGGGTGCTGAGCTTGGGAAGATAGAAGTGGGGTGAGGCCCTCTTCCTGTTGCTGTGGGAGCATCCAGGGCCCTGCCACCAGCCGTGGGCACGAAGACCACCTCCCCTCTTATCACGATGCTGTACTGGTGAAGACCACTCCTCCGGAGGCCCTGCCTCTGTCCCACCAGCTCCCTAATGACCCCATCAACCTAATTCTCCATTTCACACCTAGTTTTGCTAAAAACACGTACTGGTTTCTGTCTTTGGGCCTCCACTGCCAACTGCAGAACGCAAAGTCACCTCTGCACTGAGAGGTCGCAGCGACAGCGGCTGTGCCCATTTGTTCTTGTTGGTATGGGGTCTGCCATCAGTGTGGAACACGGGACACTTACCGAAGATGAAATTGTCAGGCCTGAAGAGGTGTCCGAAGGCCCCAGACCGAACACTGTCCATGGTGCCGGGCTCCAGGTCCACCAGGATGGCCCGTGGCACATACTTGTGAGCTGAAGGAAGAGGCACAGGTTATGTGGGCCACAGAGGTTGGAACCATGTGCAGAATGGGGACCGACACCACAGCCAGCCAGGACCAAATCTCATATCCGATATGGACATCGTTTTACAGCCGCTGCTAAATAGCTTCTGCCCAAGGCTTCCGGGGACCCCCGCCCAGCCCTGCCCCTTCCCTGGGACTGTGCCCGTGTCTCATGGCCACGGCACACGTTGAATCTCATGCTGACAGGGGTTCCTTGTCTTTATTCTGTGAGCTTCGAGTCACACCTGCCAGCCACCACCAGAGTGGCAGGTCCTGGGACCCAGCATCGAGGCGCCCTCCCGCCCCGCCCGCAGCCCAGGACGGGGGCTCACAGGAGGCCTCATTGTAGTAGACGCTGATGCGCTCCAGCTGCAGGTCGGAGTCCCCCACGTAGTTGCCGCTGGGGTCTATGCCATGCTCATCGCTGATGACCTCCCAGAACTGCGGGGGGAGGGAGGGGTCAGCAGGTGGCCAGGACCCTCACCTGGCCCTTGCCCTCCTATGCCCTTGAATCCCTGGGTATAAAATCAGGAGTTTGCACCCAAAGCCTGCACTAGTCCCTTTGAGAGACTTTGGAAGAGCCCCAACCTGTCATTTATGAGAAAACTGTCATAAATATCCACGTCCGCGGTCACCGGAGCCCGCAGAGTAGTTCAAGCTCAACCGACACAGGCCCGCAGACCCAGCTGCACACTTGCCGGCCAGGGTCAGCAGCAAACACCCTCTGTGGCTGATCCCTATTATTCCCTTTCCAGATGAGGAAACTGAGGCCCAGAGAAGGTAAGTGATGGAAACGAGTCCAGGGTACACGTGGCCCTCTGCCCGGCACTCCCCAGCCTGCCCACACTCAGCTGGCACCACCCTAGGGCCTACGGCCTCCTGCTGCCCACACTGCTCATCCATCCTCGGGCAGGAACCCACAGCACCCCTCAAGCTCTGCTCCCACAGCCACAGCAGGCAAAGGGCAGTCCAGGGCCTCCGCGAGGAGCTGGACCACCCCTCCCAGCTGTGTGACCTTGCGCAGGTCCCGAAGATGCTCTGGGCCTCAGTGTCCTCATCTGTCCAATGGGCCTGATGACAAAAACCAGTCACTGTAAGAACAAACTAGGTTACTCTGTGCAGCATGCGAATGGCATGTGGTGGAGGCTGACTGCTGTGTGGAGTTATTAGCGCATGTGTCCACACAAGGACACGCACCCTGGGTGGAGGGAAGGCTGCAGGGCTCTGCCCCTGCCCCAGGCACTTCCAGTTGGCCCATGTGGGCAGGAGGTCATTGGTCACAAGCTGTGTGACTTCCCAGTGCCCCTCCCCTTTGCTTCTCAGGGTTGGGATGACTTTCAGAAGATGAATGGGTGTCAAGTCCTCCACAGAAGTCATGTGCTCGTGACAAGACAGCCCACTTAAAAAGCAGCTAGAGAACAGTCTGCACATGCTCATCTATATATGGGTGTCTCCGACAGACACACGGTCGCCTTCTGACAGCTGTGGCCCGGCTCGTGGTCTTTCCATGGTATGGCCTTTGGTTCTTTCAGAATTCGTTGTCACGTGCATGTTTTAATTTCACACACACAAAAAGATTAAAGATAAAATTGCTTAAAAAGCTGAAAAGTATAAACAGTGTCATTATTATAAAATGTATAGAGGAAACTTGGAAATTCACCAGAGACTTTTATCTGAGGTTAGAGGTCCCCTCTCAGCCACATGGGGGCTAAGGGCTAGACTCCTTCCCTGTTTTGTGCATTTCTGTCACTTGTAAGTTTTATTTTTGTGTGTGTTAATTTTATATGTAGAAAAATAAATAAATGCACAGAAATGTCACTGAGGCACTTAGGGTCTGATCACAGCTTCCCACTGCTGCCTGGTTCCCCATGCCTCCTTCACCCTGAGGCTGTCCACAAGGTGAGCCCAGGGCTTTGGTCCTCACAGCCCTGGGCACCCCAAACCTCTGGCTTTGGGGACACCCACAGCTTCCATAGAGGGGGGATGGCACGTGTGGGGCTAGGAGAGAATGCTGTGTCTCCAACACATCTATGGAAGGCATGGCCTTCCAGGAGGTGAGGGTCCAGAGTGGGTGCAGACCCCAGCACCGGCCAGGGTGTGACAGTGACCGCACCTCTCGGGACCTCAGCTTTGTCATCTGGAAAGTAGACGTGATGATGGTACCCACGTCGAGTGGTTGGCACGAGGCCTGACACACAAAAGCATTCAGCAAATATGGGCTTCATTGAGCTAAAAGACCTTAGATGCTATTTCAGTTGGCAAAGCCATAAGCACAGATAACTTAAATAAAAATAAAAGATAATTTTAAAAAGTCAGCATGCTTTGCAGTACCGTGGCACAGTAAAAGACCACCACCGACATGAGGTCTCCCAAACACAATGAGCAACGGTGCATAGAGTAGAAAAGGGACCCTCACGACAGACGCTGCCCTTTTCTGCAAAGACGCATGGCTCACATGCACAGAGCAGGGACAGGACGAGCGGGAAGCAAACGTGTCCTGTGGGAGCAGCGACGGAGAGAGGCAGGTGGTTAAATAGGCACGTTAGCCTGACCTGCACAGTGTCAGGTTTTTAGAAGGAGAATATATTAATACTTGCTTTTGTGGTTAAAACTAATAAAAATTATAATTTAAAATAGTTAATAGATATCTCAGTAAAACAGATCATGTAACATTTAATAAATAATACAATACCTTTTTGTAAAGTAAATAAGAAATAATTACGATCATCACTACCGATGAGAAAACTGCCAGATGGCCATGAACCCCAAGGTCCAGACCACGTCTCCTATTTCAGACCCCAGGTTTTTTGTCTGGTGTTTGGGGGCAGGTCAGGCTCTGCGCTCGCGGCGCTGTCCGCGGTGCTGATCTGTTGCCGCTCGCCGCTCAGGGGCACAGACAAGAGGGTGCAGCGGCTCTCGGAGGGAGGGCGGGCCGACTCTGGGGCATCAAGCCCCTCCAAGACCCCATGGCCTTCCCCGCTTCCCTGCACAGGGAGGGCGCCGTGGTGACTCATTGGGAAAGCGCTGGGACAAGGGGCGGAGGGAGGACACCGTGGAAAACCCTCCCCCGCTGCTGTCAGGGCCAGGCCCCTCCCCTCCGCACCCCGCCCTAAGGCCGGGAGGTGGGGGCGCAGACAAAGGCTCCAGGACGGCCCTGCCTGCCCCTAAGGGAGGAGGGGGTCCCCGGACTCATCCCCCTGTTGGGCGGTGTTGGGTACCCCGCGCATCCCGCTGTATCCACGCAGACACAGATTCATTGTCGTCCAGGCAGCTGCCTCCTCTTCCCGGAGCGCTGAGTTTTTTCATTGTTGATGGAAAGGCGACACTCGCTTTCACCACACCCTGCTGAGGTGACGTGAGTAAAGCACCTGGCACAGCGCTCAACACTAGTGGTCACTATAGCAAGTCATTAAGGCCGTCATGCTACTGCTCAGGAGAGACGTATCCTCTCCTAGCCCCGATGGCCTCAACCTCCCTGCATCCCCCACCACCCCTCCCCAGAGCGGGCAGTCTGGTCCGGGCACCAGGCAACAACCTGTAAGCAGGAAAGCAGAGCCCCGTGCCAGGCCCAGCCCGCTGCGGCTGGTGGAAAAGTGTGCCCTCCCCACGCACGAGGAAACAGAAATGGCCAAGCAACTGCCGGCCCAGGGCGGAGGCCGAGCTGCTGGGCGGGGGTGGGAGGTTGGAGGGGCTGGAGGTGGAGGGGGCCTGAGCACTTTCCCCAAGTTTGCCTTCTGGAAAGGTTCCAGGGCAGAGAGGCCTGATGGAAACCGCTCAGCCCCTCCCACCAGTCACCGCGAAGGGCTGCGCTTGGAAAAGGGAGACACGATTCTCCTTCCCACGACCCGCCTCTTTCTTGTTTTAATTGTAAAAAAGGATCAGAAACCAAACTTTAAAATGAACATGAGTAAAACTCAGCGGGAGAGGAATAAAAAATAATGGACACACCCAAGGGTCACAGCGCTGAGAAGCAGGAAAAGGTCTCTGCGGAAGACACTGTTGGAGCAGCCGGAGCGGGGAACTGCGCCGCTCCGCCCGGCCCCCGCGGACTCAGCGCTGCCCTCCCTCCCCCGTGACCCTGACCCCGCGAGGAGCAGATGTTCAGGGCAGGCCTGGCCCCTGTGCCATTAATGAGCCCTCGGCCCCTCCCGCCCAGCCAGGGCAGCTGTCGGCGACTGGCCCAGGAGCCCTGATTCGATTTGAGGCCCTCGTCCCCCAGGCCTCCCCCTCCCCCAGACCCTTCCGCGGGCAGGCGCAGCTGTCCCTTCCGTGATTAAGAGTCACCAGCTACCGCCTCCCGCGACCCCAGCCTGGGCGCCTCCACCCTAGAGCCCAAGTTGCAATTTACACGTCAGCCACGTGGCTGCACCAGCCCCGCTGTAATCAGCTTTTTGTTCTTCTCTGGTTTCCACGGCAACAGCCTCCAGAAGAAGCCTTGCTCGGCCCCTTTCCCTCCAGGCCCTGTCTCCTAGCCGGGTTTGGGGACCAGCTGGACGACAACCCCCGCGCAGGGTCCCTGGCCTTGGTCCTGACAAAGCTACCCTCTGGCGGCGCATTGCTCCGAGGAAGCGCGGCCCGCAGCGCCGCACCCACCCTACCTGGGCCCCGCGCGCGTGTCCGCAGGGACTTGTTGTGTGACCTTGGGCAAGGGCCGGTCTCCCCGCACTTGGGGACGTGACACCACTTCTTGGGTACATGCCATTTCCCCTTCCCGCCTCAGTCCCGACATCTGTGAGGTGGGCTAACAACGGAGGGGAGGGGCGGCGGTGATGAGCTTTCCATGCCCAGAGCCCAGCTTTGTTCCCATGTCCAACGCGACCCGCGGGGAGGGGGGGGGCTGGCCATGTGGGGCTGCGCCGAGGGGCAGTCCAGTTCTAGACCAAGGTCAACCCAGTCCGAGTTCAACCCTTCCCCCAACAAAGGCACAGGGTGGGGCCAAGAAGCACGGTTGGGGGCAAGGGGCGCTTCCTGTTCCTGGCGGGGCGGCGGAGGGAATCATTATGGCTTTGAGGGGCCAGCCCCACCCAAACCTGCCCACCCCACCCATCTCGCTCAAGGCTGAGTTGCGACCCCAAAGAGGGCCACGCCCAACCAGAGCCCCAGCTGCACGGCCGCGGCCAGGGGAGGAGGGCGCAGCTGCGGAAGAACTTGCGCTGTGGTCTGGCGCTGCGCTCGGGCGGGCCCCCGGGACCCGCAAGGGCAGGAGAAAGGCGGGGGCGGGAGCGGCAGGGGGGGCCAGGGGCTTTGTTCTCGGCTTCGCGGTGGCGGGCGCGGCTCGAGTGCGCGGCGCCTCCCTGCTTCCCTCCCTGGGGGCCGGCTCGGGTGGCGACGCGGGAGGCGCGCTGGGTGCGGGGTCCGGCGCGTGGGTGCGGCGCGCGGCCTCACCTTGGCCCCGATCTGGTTGCCGCACTGGCCGGCCTGGATGTGCACGATCTCCCTCATGCTCGGTGCGTGTGGCGGGCGGTGCGGGACTCGCGGACGGCCGGGCTGGCTGCGGAGAGTCTGACGCCCCCGCTGCCGGCTCTTATAGGCTGGGCCCCGCCTGCCGCACCCTGCGTGGCGTCACCGCGCGCGACCAATCGGGGGGCGCCGCTGCAGAATGCGGCACGGGCGCTGCAGCATCAGCACCGCGCATCCCCGCTCCGCCGCGCGATGCTGCGCCTCCTCCCGCCACCACCAGGGTCTGGCCACCGCCCGCACTCCGCCCCCCCCCCAACCAACACCCGCTCACGCGAAAGGAGGGGCTGCCGGGCTCCAGGGAGGACAATAGAGGCCCCTCTTGGCTCTCAGACCCCGCCCTGGCTGCCTTCTCCAGTCCCGCTCCTCGGCTTTACAAAAAGGGTCTTTCTTCCCCACGCTCGTTAGGGACCAACCCCATCTTCCCACCCCGAAAAGTCGCGACGGCCGCCTCCCAGCTCCCTGTCTTGTGGCGTGAAGGTACAGACAGACGAGGTACTCTGAGCTTGGTGGACCCCTCAGGGGTGGCACATGCGAGAAAAGGCGGCAGCAGGCACTGGGAGCATCTGGCGGGCTGTGCGTCCGGGAGGGCGGTGGCCAGTGACCATGGCAGCTCTGAGGTTCACTGTCCTCTGCAGTGGGGGCGTCACCTGCCCCCCCCAGGGCGCCGCCCCTAGATTCCAAGTGGACTTTGTTCTGCTCAGTGACTATTGATGTCGGGAATTGTCATAATGACACAGCCAGGTGAGGGACCGACAGGGTCGGGGATGGTGTGCCCTGGTTTCTGTCTTACTCTCTGATGTCACGTGTACGTCTGGAGTCTTGGTCTAAGTGAGGCCAAGGTGGGGGCCGTGCGGGAAGACGATGTGTGTACAAGGTGGGGTTTGCGGGAAAGACTGGGAGAGTCCACTGGTGGGAAGAGGAGGGAGGGTGGGAAGTCGATGAGCAGACGGTGTGCTGCACATGCTCTCCTGCGGCCTGGCGCTCTCGTGGGGTCAGGTGTTAGCGCAAGCCACCTGACAATGAGGCCCTTCGGATGTTTCAGTAATGCCGTCCTCCAGGGAGGGCAGTCCGCGGCAGTGGGCACGTGTGTCCAGCGTGTGCTCGGCATTGGGCTGGCGCAGGGGGGCTGCATGTGTGCCTCTCTCCTCCTGAAGCTCCCCAGTTTGGCAAGTCCAGATAGAAATGGGTCTTTTGTTCTCCATAGAAGCCCCTCCTCCACAGTGTGTCCATGATGTGGCTTTCTGTGGTTGGCTTCCTGCCACTTGGGGCTCCTCCCTGTCCCCCCTCCCCCAATCGGGGGATTCTTGGTGAACATTCGGCTCTTCCCTAGAGCCAGCAGCGCCTCCCTGTCTGAGCAAAAGCAGCAGCTTTGCGGCACCCTGTCAGCGGGACCCATCAGAATGGCATCAGGCCAGGCAGCTTCCCCTCCAAGCCGAGAGGGCTCTGGTGCAGGCTCAAGGCTGACTCACCATCCTGTCTCCCAGCAAAGGCTGACCCTGCCGGGAACCAGCTCCAGCCCCAAGGCCGGCAGTTGGGGCTGGAGCTGCCAGTTTGGACGGGGCACTGGCTGGGGCAGAGCTGGAGGACTGGCCAGGGGCTGAGCTGCAGGCAGGACTAAAACTACCTTGGAGAGGCTGCTGCCCTCACTGAGCCCATCCAGAAGGGGTGACTGAATTCTCAGTGTCTGTGGAAGAAGCTCTGTGAGAGGCGTCGGGTTGCAGCAGAGGGAGGACCCGAGGGCCCAGTAGCAGGCAGCACGGTCCACCCCAGCCGCCCTCCCCCGGGGCTTGGACATGGGTACCCCTGCAGCCACTGGACAGCTTCTCCCCATCTGGGAGGCCTGGCCTCAAATACCTACTGGGTGGACTGAGCACTGACCCCTTCCAGGAAGACAGAGCTGGGTGAGCAAGAACCCAGCCCCCGACCCATCCCGCCCCTTGGGCCCCTCCAGAGGGCCAAGGTCACACATGGGGTCAGGGTGGTGCTGCTGCTTCTGCAGCTGAGGACAGCCTGGACAGCATCTGAGTCTTTTTGTTTGTCAATGAAACGAGCCAGGATTTATTTAGATGCTCCTCTGGGAGGAGCTGGGGTCCAATGCAGGGTCCCAAGAGCCAGCGCTGTTTTCCGCGTTCATCTCTCCTTCGCTTTCGCCCAATACTTCGCTGCGAAATAAAACTTCAGACTCTGCAGGAGGCTCACGGGGTCCTACTCTGGCCTGACTCCATGCGAAAGGAAGAGAGCTGAGCCTCGTCACCACGGAGGCGACTGTCCCAGCTGCTCCTCACTCTAGCTGCCCGGGGCTGGGTCTGAGACAAGGTGGAAGCACAGGGTCAGAGCAGGTGCCCCTGGTCGGCACATGCTCCCCTCGGCGGGGCCTCGGGCCCCTGGGTCCTTTGGGGCATGGTTCCCTCACCCGGCAGGCCAGCCCTGGTCTCTGGGACTTACTTCTCCCCACTCATCGGTCCCACCCCTAAGCCCCTCCCCTGATCCTCCACCCTCAAGCTTCAAGCAACTGGAAGGGAGCCGAGAGCAAGGAGGCTGCCCCAAGCACGGCATTTACCAGACCGCCTGCTGCCCTGACACCCTGGGTACTGGTCACTGGGACAGGCCCAGGGCCTTTGCTTGACCTGAGCAGGCTCTGGCCAGCGCTGGCTGCTGTCGCATGTGGTACAAAAAAACAGCTCTCGGTCACCATGCTCCTGCGGACACATCCCTCTGCCCGAGGCTAGGCCCTGCTGCTTCCTGTGAGGCTCGGTCTTGCTGGTCAGAGTCCCTTCTCCTGAGGCCATGTCCGCAGTGTTCCTCATGGCTCTTGTCCACGTCCCAGTAGGTGCCGGTAGGCCCTGGCCTGGCCTGGGGCAGAGGTGGGGCACTCCTGGCATGGGCAGTGTCCAGCAGCCTGGGTACCTGTGGCCCACTGTTTCCCAGCCCCGACTCCTCACCCTTGTTCCTGGACATCCATGCTTATTCCTCTCTGGCCTCGAGGGCCTCTGCGTCCGCACCTTCTGAGGTCACCTAGCCTGGCCTCTGTGGCAAGTCACTCCCCAGTCACACAGGAACGGGGCCATGTGATAGCACCACCTCCCTCTGCCGGGCACCCCGGCCACCCCTCACCAGGAGCACAGCAGCACCTCCTGGAGCGTCTTCCGGAGCTCCTGGCTGCGGAAGGCATAGATGAGGGGGTCGACGATGGCGTTGCAGATGACGAGGGCCAGGAAGAGGTCGAAGTTCTTGAAGATGCAGCCACAGGTGGGGTGCTGAGGACAGAGGGCGATGAGTGCGAGGTGCAAGAAGAAGGGGCCCCAGCAGAGGAGGGACACGCCCAGCAGGATGGTGAAGGTGGCAGCGCCCTTGAGGCCGAAGCCCTGGTGGGTGGGGTGCTGTCTCTTGTGGAGCCGCGCGATGCTGCGGGCCTGCTGGCAAGCCCGGGCGAGCATGTGGGCATACAGCACCGCCATGAGTGCCAGCATGGCCACGAAGAAGCCGACGAGACAAAGTGGGACGGCCATGTGGTCATAGTAGGCGATGAAGACAGTGCTGCAGGCGACGCTGGCCACCCAGATGGCTGCGATGGCCCGCCACAGCCGGGGCAGCGTCACGATGCTGTGGTAGCGCAGTGCATAGAAGATGGAGATGTAGCGGTCCACCGCGATGGCACCCAGGAAGCAGAGGCTGGACACCATGGAGCCGCAGGTGAGCACGTCGATGACGGTGCCCAGCTGCTGCACCGCAGCGGCCCGGGCGGGCAGGGCGCCCGCCTCCAGCAGCAGCATGACGGCCGTCTCCAGCACGTTGCTCGCGCTCACCAGCAGGTCGGACACGGCCAGGCAGCAGATGAGAAAGTACATGGGCGAGTGCAGGTTGCGGTTCTTGGCGATGGCCGTCACCACCAGCACGTTCTCCACCAGGCTCAGCAGTCCCAGGCTGAGGAAGAGCCCGTCAGGAACGAACACCTCCAGGCACCGGGGCCCCGTCAAGTTGGCGGCTGGCCCGAGGTAGGGGATGGCTGGGGGGGTGGCGTTGAGGGTGGCCAGCAGCTTCCTCCGGGGACCCTGCATTGGCGTTGTCCTGCCAGGTAGCAGGGTCATTCCTTCAGGGGGCTCCGCTCAGCTCATGGTGCCACCTTCACACTTACCCTCTCCCCGGCTGGACCAGTGTCGGCCCCGGCATGGACCAGCTGCAGAGGCCTAAGCTTCTCCACCAGAGGCTGGTCCCCTCCCAGCCAGGACTCCGAGCTCCGCAGCGCCAACTCTCAGGGCCCGCAGCTCCTTTCCTGCCTTTCCCTGAACGGGCAGCCAGCCAGGGCCACCCACTTCTCTGCCTCCTGCCTGCCCGGGCCAGGGAGGGCTGCAGCAGGAAGAATGGAGCCCTTCCGCACAGCATTAAAGTCGTCCACGGGGCCCCTCCTCCAGAGGGCGGCCACATGATGGGCGTGTGCCTGGGAGCGCCCGGCCAGGTGGCGCCAAGGACACCCAGGGCCTCCGACCCGGAGCACAGGGACATCTCCTTATGCCCAGAGCCACCGTGGCCTGCCAGCCGCCTGCGCTCCGCCCACCAGCGCCCCCAGTCGGGCCTCTGCTCCAGGTGTTTGCATGTGGGGTGTCCTGGACCTGTCCCCAAGCCTTCTACCCCCTCCAGGCCCACAGCAAACACCGCCTCTTCCTTGAAGCCCTCCCGTTCCCCAACGCCTGTCTGATGCCGCTCCGCCTCAGGAATTGCCACTAACTGTTGACTGGCCATCCCCAACCCTAACCCTGACCCCCACCCCGTGTGAGATGTTCACTGAGGGGCAGTCATGTCCCCGGTCATTTCGCTGAGTGGCCAAAGGGTGCAGGAAAGGTGCTCTTGGTCATCGTGGAGGATGGCAGGGACATAGACACCCTCTTCCCTGCCGGCCCCACTTCCTCTGTGGGACCTGACGCTGTGGGAGCATGGTCGGGGGGGCCCACGGCCCCGTGCCCCATGGAGCCTCCCGCACTTCCTCACTGAAGATGCGTCTGCCAACCACAGATCCTCCTCTGAAGGCCTAGGGTGAGGGAAGGGACTTGTCTTCCTGTTGACAGGTGGGGACAACGAGGCCACAAGGCAGGCGCAGGGCCTGAGGGAGGCCTCCTTTGAAAAGTGTTGGTGCCTGTGACATCCCTGCCGAAGGCCATTCTCTCCACAGCTACTGCCTGGTGGCCCGAGGGCCCGCGTGTGTGAGCACCATCGGCACCCACCCATCCACACCAGGCACCTCTGACGCCCACGTGCTTGGAGCTCCCTGTTGTGACGTGTGCCGTGCACAGAGGCACGTACTCTGTAAACATGCAGCTGGTGGGCGCCCCAATCTGAACGAGAGGCCGAGCCGCACGCGATTGTTCAGGTCACACAGCCACTGCGCCAGACACCTCGGCGCTGTCTGGCCCTGCTCCAAGCTCCCTAACCCGGACGGGCTTCGTGCCCTCCCCTCTGCACTGAGACGTCCTTGGAGCTGCAGAGTGGGCCCAGGATCATGTCCCTGCGGGGTGACACCGAGGAGTGGGATGTCAGGGTCAGACCTTCAGTTTGAGTAGATTCGACCAAACCACTTTCCAAATGGCTGGTCCTGTCTGCCTGTTCCTGGCTGTGCTCAGCACACGCACCACGGGAGAGGGCAGGAGAACCCCCCAGGAGAACCCCCCGGGGAGCAGCCACACACGCCTGAGGGCCCACGGCGGCCTGCCAGCCCCAGGGCCACACCTGGCCCTGGGCCCACGGAGCGTCTGCCCGGCCAGCAGTGCCCTGCCCCCAGCTCCGTGTCCTCAGCGTCCCAGCTCCGTAAATGGGGCCTTTGAGGTGGCCAGTGCTCCACCCCCAGCCTGAGACTTCAAAGGGCGTAAGAACTGGGCAGCCTTTGGCAGGGGACCAGCTTCTGCTTCTCACGGGTCCGGGTCCGCCTGGTGGGGACTCTGGCGAGGGAGACAGCGGAGGCGGCAGGCACGGCTGAGCTGGGGAAAGTCAGCTTCACGGCTGGTCAGGGTCTAATGGCAGCACAGCTAGTACTGAGGCCAACTGTGTCACTCGCCATCTACGCCCCTGGGAGAAATTGACGGCGAGAAAGCGACGGGCACCACGTCCCCACAACGCGTGGCACCGCGAGGCAGCGTGGCCGACCCACCCCGAGGAGGCTGTGAGAACAGGAAGCCCCTCGGCCTTCCTCACCCCTGTGTCCCCAGCACCAAGAACAGTGCTGGGCACACAGTAGGCCTGCGACACACGAGTGTTCAATGCGCAGTGAGCTCTGTGGGGAAATGGGCAGAAGCCCTCGCCGGAGTCCACGGCAACAAGGTACGGGTCACTGCCCGGCCAGAGGGCCCAGGTCAGCCCCTGGCCCTGCTTCTCACGCAGGCCTGGGCCAGCAGGAGACACGGCCGGGACGGTGCGGCCTGTGGCATCTCGGGAAAGGCTGGCCCAGCATCTCCATTCAGTCTGGGTTCCTCTGAACGTGGGGCGGGGGTGGCTCGTGTGCCCACCCTATGCTGCCTGCGCTGGAGGCCCGGACAGGGTCTGACCCACCGGCCACCCCGCCCATGGGCACAAGGCCTGGGAGGGCTGAGTCCTGCTGGCTGGACGCCAGGTGTTCAGATGTGGAGGGTCAGGCCATTCTCTCACAATGCGATGACATGAGCCCAGCCTCTCCGTCCGCTGGCCCGTGGACGCTGGCCCTCCACTTTAAAGTCCACCGGCTCCTCTGAGAGATGGCCACCACAGCCCCAGGCCCGCGCCTCACCTGGGGGTCAGCTCCCCTCCCTGCTGCATTTCCAGAGAACAAGCCCCTTCTCAGAAGACCCTCGCAGACTCCTGGCTGACTGACAGGCTCGCCTCAGGCCGCCCTCGTGGGGACATGTACACCCAGGACAGACTGGACCCTCGGAGATGGGTGTAGACCCCCCCGCAGCACGTCACAGTGGCAGGGAGGTATGGGTGCTAGAAAGGACAGACCTCGCGTCTGTAGGGCCTGTCCTTGCCACGTGTGTTCAACACACAGAGGCAACGTTGACCCCAACCCTGGAAGCCCCCAGTGAGACCTGCTCAAAGGGTGACCTCGCGGGTCTCCCCAGCGGGGGACGACGCCAGTGACTGGGACGGCTGGGGACTTCCCGGGAGGAGATCGGTGGACTGGCCCTGGGCAGACGCTGAAGGGCGATGACTGGGGCCCGGCCCCCCTAGAGCTCATGGGCAGCGCCCCCTCCAAACCTCGTCCGCTGTCTCCAGGGGTGGTCAGGGCGGGGAGGGTGCCCAGGGGACAGGACAGCCCCAGCCGCTTCAGTGCCCCAGACCCTTCCAGAACCACAGGCACAGGCAGCCCTATGTGGTTCTCAGCTGTCAATCAAGGGAGCCACGACCCTCCCAGCAGCCAAGCCTGCCCCCCACGCTTCATTCACCCCGAGAATGCCCCTAACCTGTGCCCTAAACACTCCCCAAAGCTGCCAGGACCCACCTCTCAGGCTCCCGGATTAGGCGCTGCCCCCCATTTTCCAGAAAAACTGTTTTGTCAGACTGGACAGCCTGTCTGCAGTGTCCAGTCTAAAGACCCCGGCGTCAGCCCTGCCTGCCCCCTGGCCTATTCCGGGTTTCGCCTGGGAGCCCAACTGGGGCGCACGTGACCCGCACTGGGCACGGCGCTCATGCACACGGGGCACGACCCGTCCACGCCACAGGAGGAAGAGGAGGCAGGCGGACGGCAGGTCAGCAATTCTACTTCAGGGGACGGCCGATGCCGACCAGACAGAGCAGGGCACAGCTGCACCGCGCTGGGCTCCGCGTGACGCTGGCTCAGTCCCACTCCCCATCGCCCTCGGGGGGCTCCTCGTGTGGGGCCTCCAGGTCACGGAAGTGGAAGTTGGCCATCATGTCCCGCACGGCCAGCATCAGCCTGTTCAGGCCCTGGTTGTGGTTCAGGCCCTCGGCCGCACCGTCCTCTGGCCTCTCCCCCTGTGGCAATGAGGCTTGTCTGAGCAGGGCCTCTCCTGGGACGCGGGCCCAGCCCCCCAGCTTCCCTGGGGCCCACGTCCATGTGTCTGACAGGCCAGGCTGCCAGCGGGGTCCGTGGCCGCACCGAGGCAAGGGGGCCCTTGTGTGTCTGAGCTGGCGGCCTGGCCCAGGCGGCACGGCCCAGCTCCGAGGCAGGCGGGGTGCCCACGCGGCTGCAGTGCTAGACGTCCACGCAGGAAGGCGCCCCGCCCCCGGCCGGCCCACGTACCTCCGCGGTGTAATTCGGCAGCAGAGACCGGAAGAAGAGAGCAATTGTGTTTCCGTGGCTGACGGGACTCAGCCTGAAAGAGAAGCCAGCGAGGTC